ATATATTGCACTTTTTAAACAGTATTTGACAGTATTCATTTATTTAAATATTGGAAATTCATAACAAATCAAACATTTTTTCAATTTTAGGATGTTCAAGGAATGGAAAGGCAACCAGAATATCTACCACTGATCCTATTGCAACCATTCTACAAATGGTGAGTCAAAAATTCCAAATATTTATAAAACTTCTCTTATTCAAATAATTCCATACAATAATATTCTGTGAATTACCGTTCATTTGAAAATTATTTGTTTATATTGATTAATTGCAAACATTTTGTCATCACAAACATAAATTTCTGACGCTTGGATTTCAAGATATTCAAGACTTTCTGTTTTCATAGTTCTCTAGTTCTGCCGCTAGATGGCGATACCATTTGTGTTACCATTTGTAACATTAAATGGTGCCAACGTTCGATTTCAAAATGTACATCAGAGTTTTGCTAAATAATTAGTCTTCGCGCTATGAGAAACAATATTTCTTGTAATATATAAATTAATACATCCCCTCTAAATAATCTGACTTGTGTAGATTGTTTCAACCATCACAAATTAATGAAATATTATTTGTTTTATATTTATACACATTGTGCGAATTGAAACTTTTATTGCAGGGATTTATATTATCATAGTACGTTTGTCAGTCGATAACTGACGTTTTACATACATTTAACACATATTCAGAGGATTCCCTACGTTATCAATCCCTTATCAGTGATTGGTAATCATATCCGATACCGAAGAATGGAATAGAAACTACACAGAAAATAGTTCTTAAAAAATTTTCATTAAAATTCGTGTGTACGTGTTAAATATGTCATAAGTGATTGTGTTCTCTGATTACACGTGCCAGATAGATATTAATCAGTATTACAAACTTAAGTCCATCTTATATTTTTAATATTACACTGTATCATAAATAAATTCAGATAAATATAAACGTATCCTGATTACAAGTATTCAATTATAATCCATTACAAAATTTTCCTAATTATAATTGAAAAGAAGCCACCTGTAATCAGTGTAGTAATCATTGCTCAGCAGTCATCATTGCTTCTCTTCCTAACAATTCATTCCACATTAAAATTCCAAATTGGACAAGCAACAAATGAACTCGAATACAACTGAAGTTATTTATGACACGATCGAATCGTAATTTCTATGAAAAAGATGGGAGGGAATAAGTGAAATTCACTGATCGCGAATTAAATCGGATGATCAATACCAGAATATATTTCATCTTACAGCAATTGGTCACTGTCGATTCATACTATCCACTCACAAAAATACACTCACGCAAGTTCTGTCGTACGTTACGTTTAAGAATCATTCATAAACAGGCTTCCAGATCAGTTTCATCCACGCTTTGGTTCGGATTCGTTCCCGTCTCCGGGAATAATCGTCTGTTTCTATTGGAACACGTTATATTCGGTAAGGCACGGCTCGTTGTACCATGTGTGCGCGATCCTCGAATCATTTTCTTTCTCATTCTCGCCGATATTTCCGTTGAGCAGGTCGTCGTTCGGTCCTTAAACGCTACGTATATGTTTCGTCGTTCGACTCGTGCGCAAGTAGCCATGAACGCAGGATTACAGGGACCGTGTAATTACAAAGACTGGCTAATTATGAAAAATTATGAACCATGGATTAATGCTGACATTTAAATTAGAGGTGCACTCGCCATTTTTTTTCTCGCGGGGACATTAAATTTCTTATTTTCGTGAAAGTCCCGGCACTTTCTCTTTTAGTTCTTTTTTTCCCTCATTTTTTTTCTATACGCAGGGATTGTATTGCTATAATTAAAAGAATTGTATTGACATTATTTTGTTCGGTGGTTACTTTGCTAAATACCTTGCAAGATTTTGTTATTGCTGCCTCGAGTTACTTCCAATGAGTACTCGGGATTTTGGGAATCCCAGTGAAATAATAAACGAAAGGATGGAAAACGACAATTAACGATAGAACTATTAAACAGTTGATTAGACTTTTTGAAATTTTTCTATGGAAACTCCAACAGTACTGTTGAGATCTCTATTGATTTGCAATTCAGTTTGCCTATTGCTGAATCAATTTCTGTGGTAATTTCTCAGAGAGTTATTTGTTGCTTTTAATCATTATTAAAGAAGCAATCAGGAATGGGTCATTTTGACCTCTCTAGTAGTTCTACTGTTAACCCCTTGCTTTACAACATTTGTCAGACTTGTGACGAAGATTTTAAAGCAAATTTGACATAAATATTACCGAATTCTTGAGAATTCAATTGAAATATTATTCTTTTGCTATTAATTACTATACTCTATACCAAACATTGCTACAGGATGTACGTATTTTTTTTCAATGAATTATTAATCCTTTGCACTCGAGAGACGACTCTCACTTGACTTGATACAGTAAAACTATAAAATTTGATGTTTAACCCTTTAAACTCTGTAGGCTGGAATATTGCACCAATTCTAATATCAAATATTTTAATGAATCTCAAAGAAACCACCCTAAAGTTATTCGATTCTCCGCACATCCAAATTTTGTACTAAGAATTCTAATTTTTGCTAGAAATACTATAAAAATTAGTTACAGTTGCTGATAAATTACAAAATAACCTGGAGTGCTAAGGGTTAATATTATCCTTCGTCTAATGCAATTTGAGAAATATTGAAATAAAATAGAAAAAAACAAAATCAGAAAATGTTAAAATATGTCTAGCGAAGAACTTCTAAGTGCAAAGGGTTAATAATAAAGTAGTTGATTAATAGATCATAATTGAGAAGTAAATTGTAATACAATGGGTTAACCTTTTGCACTCGAGAGGTGACTCTCAGTCACCACTTGACTTGATTTGCAAAATTATAAAGTCTTATATATAATATTAAGCTTTGTATGATGCATCGATATATGGAATATTCAAATAAAATAACTTTCCTTCTTAATTTATATATGTTTCCTCGTTAATTAGTTTCAAAGCACATCGTCTGTATCTCATCGAAAAATATTGAATATTTCTAGTGAAAAACTTTTAACTGAAGCGCCAATATTAGTCTGGTTCACAAGTCCCCATAACCGACAGTGGAAAACACGAATACAGTAACAACCAATCAGATCCACGTCTCGATTCTAAGCTCCGCCCCTTCAGGAACACTGGCGAATCACACGATTAGAAATCTACGCGCAGCTTCTGTCCCTGTACGTCGAGGTTCATAGCGCAGGACACACTCGTCTTGTAACCTAAATATTATTCACTCGTACAAATTTGTTTAAAAAAAAAGAGAACGATACAAGAAAGGGATTGCAGACGAATCGAGGTGTTCTACGTTTTATTCGCTACTCGCCTCTGCTATTATCTCGGATCAGTTCACCGAGTCTTCGTGCCGGTCACACTCCATAAATTACATAAATATTCTAGAAAGTGGAGACCGTCGTTTATGTGAGAATATATATATATATGTATAGGGTGTGCAACGAGAACCAGAATGCATAAGTATCTTCGTTACTTGTAGTCGTATAAAGAAACTATACAGAACAAAGTTACACCATTTCACGAAAGAAATGCGACGGGGGAGACAACCCTTTAACACTGGAACTACCGAGCACTGAAAGTCACTCGAAATTTTTCTATAGAAACTCCAAGAGATCTATTGAGAGTTTGATTCGTGATTCAATTTGCATATTGCCAAAGCAATTTTTTTACAATCGCGAGAAGAAATCTGGAACGGGTCATTTCCGATCGGTAGTTCCAGTCTTAACGAGATTTGACCAGTGAGATTTTCCTGTAAAATGATCTTGAAATTTTCGAAAATAATCAATGATAATAAAATGGGAAGTTTCTAACGAATAAACGATTCTTTTCAACATTAACACGTTGACTACCACGATGAGCTTCCGAATTGCTTGAAAACGATTAGAATAAGAAAATTGATATTCAAAATATTTAGTAACGCTAGAAGCTAGAGTGTAATGAGTACTGCAGTACCGAAACATTAATAATTATTTCCAACACTCTTCTCCGTCATAAAGGAATAAATCTTAAAACAAACGTTCGAAATTCCCGTGGCAGTCATCGTGCCAAAACATCGATGCAAACACAGTTCACTTCTCAATGAATAAAATTCGTGTCTAATCGCCGAGTACAAAAATCATTTCAAGAATCATTCCCTCCAAAACAGTGCAATCTCCAAGATGTCCCGCGCGAGCAGATGCTAAAGATATTCACCATCCACTCCCACATTCACAACTCGCCCGATACATGAAAGATCGCCGCGATTCCCAGCCTGACTCACCGACCCGGTAAACCGATTCCTCAATTCCGTCTGTCAGTCGCCGAAAAGTAAAACTCGAAGCGTCAATTCCCACTTGGAACACAGAAGTCTCCGAATCGATCGTCCGATCCATGGATCGCTCGACAACATAACCAGTTCCCGAGAGTCTCACGTAAAACCGAGAACAACGCCCACCGATCGCCGGTCACCGGTGACCGTCACTGGCAGTAGCCGTTCGCACTAAAGGTCCAGTTCTCCGACACGGAAAGTCGCTCAGCCAGCTGCTGCATCGTCGAAAATGTCTGCTGAGGAGGACACCAATGATCAGTTAGCTACCTGGACCAGCGATGACGGTCGAGTCACCTCCTAATGCTTCCTTGATCCGTCCGATTGCCGAGTCTGAAGACGGGACAGGGTCCAGCGGAAGTTCCCCGTCCGAATGGCCCGGCGATCCTGATCCTGCAGCTCCTGCATGGCGACCTCGTAGTCTGGAGGCGGCGAGACAGGATGCGCAGCCGTCTGGAACTGCGACATGCCGTAGAGAACGCCGATTGGCCTCCTCCAGAGGTCATGGCGCCTGTGGCTCTCCTGTTCCAGGTGTCCCTCGCGCCTCCTGCTCTGCGAGGACCCGCTCTCCGTGGAGTTACTGTCCTCGCTGGTCCCCAGACCAGGGTCCCTGTCCTCGAAGGCAGCTAGACTAGTCGCCGGACTGCCTTGGAGACTCTTGCCAGCCCCGGAGGAGTGGTAGTAAGAGAGACTAGGGTGAGGGATCACGTAGGGCTGCTGTAGTTTAGAGGATAAGTTCTGGGGAAGCTTTCTTTCAGCGTTCTCGGCGTCCACGTCGTCGTTGCAGGACGTGGGGCCGAATAAGGACAGAAGGACAGGCAGCAGGAACATGCCGTGCATGGCTCCGATGAATATCACCAGGAAGACCATCTTGAAGAACACCATGAAGATGTACGTGCCTGCTAGGACTAGAGCTACCAGGCCTAGGATAGTGGATGTGGCGCCTTGGACTATGGGCAGACCCAGGCTGTAGAGACTCTCTCTGACTCTGTCGTCGGGTGTTTTCTGTTTGGAGCTCATGTAAGCGTAGCAGATGTGCGCGGTGAAGTCCACGCTGAAGCCGATGCACATGATCAGGTTGATCATGGAGATGCTGTCCAGGTTCACGTCCCAGAGCGACATGTAACCTGCTACTCCTAGCTCTATGGAGATGATGCAGAAAGCTACCCACAGGCAGCAGAGGACGTTGGGAATGAAGATAAAGCTGATCAGCATCATGATCAGCGCACCGAACACCATGCACTGGATGCTCGTCGGCTTCACCAGCTCGAACTGGTCGAAGAACACGAAGTACGGGTGGAACACGCTCGCGTTCAAAGGCGAGTCTGCGCAGATTTTACGGAGCTCCTTCACCATGTCCTTCTCCTGGTTCGTGCCGCTCACGTTCACCGCCTGGATCATGAACCTGCTGGCTACTATGTGCTCCCCGCTGTCGTCGAACTTCACGTCCAGCGAGTAGCTGGTCGTCGGCCGCAGCCAGTCCTCCTTCAAGGTCTTCAGGAAGCTGTCCTCGCTGCTGATGTTCAGAGCGATCCCCTCGGCGTAGCTCAGGAAGCTGCGCAGCCAGCTCTCCGTGTAGATCGGCGCGCTGCTGATGTACTTGCTCGCTTCTAGAGACCTCGTCAGGTTCTCCATTTGCTCTTGGATCTCCGGGCTGCTGTAGTTGTACTCGCCGCTTACCACCACCTGGAACATTCAAGAGTATGGGGTTTTAGGAGACTTATGCTTGCGAGACGCTGATTTTGACAGTAGACTGATGGGATTCGAAGGAGTAACTTAGAGTTTCATCTTTGGGTATTTGTGTCAGTTGTCACTGAATTTGACAGCGTTTACGTAATTTCAATTGATTAAAGACTATTGTCTTCTTGAATCATAGCTAAAATATTTTACTTTCTACAGAGACTTAATCTGATGATCTTAGAAGCTTCTTCAGAATCTACATACTCTCTTTTATTCTTTTCGTAGACACAGGATTTTTTAGGAACAACAAGTACTAAGCAAAATGTGAAGTACAATTGATAGTTCAGTTCGATCCTTCAATCTTTAATTTCCACAATCACTTTAACATTCTACCCCCGACATTGCCAGGACACGTACGACCGAGTATCTTCTCGATCGCGCCATTAGTGACGAGAAAGGATCGTGTGACGCAACGCTTGAACGCCACTTTTCCTCAATTCCATGGTAGCCGGTGCCCTGTAGGAGAAAGTTGTTTGCGCGGATGTGTCGAACGGGGAACGTGACATAATTGCGAGTGCCGGACCGTGCGTCACCGGAGGCTGCTTTCGGTTCCTGGATGAAAGACTTTCCCAGATCTCAGGTTCAGGCTCGGCCATTGCAATTCCCACGCGACCAACCAGACTATTTAACTGATTTTGCCCCACAAAGAATACATTTCGAGAAACTTCGAGAAAATACTCCTCTTTTCCTTACTTCAAATGTCTTCGAAGACGTTTCATCTAATTACATGGGTCACCTTACACTTGAATCGTGTCTAACTGCCAATTAACATTCAGACAGCTGCCTAAAAATAACTATATCCATAATCTCTCCCATTAACTGCAATTGGACTCACTTAACTGATCCTATTAACACGTCCCGTGCCACGGGAATTCCAGTTATATGTTGTTTATCAGTACACTGATTTTTTCAAAGAAATGTTAACACATTGCCTACCGGTAACGAGAAATCTCGTTTTTATATGAAGACTCTTAGCTATGCAACTTCGCTAATTACCACAGCATTGGAAAAAATATAAAATTTCATTCGAATTGATTATCTATTTAAAATATATTATATAACAATATATCTCAGTTTTTCTATGTATAGTGATATAAGTTGATCTCAGTGAAAATTGCCATCACAATTCAGTTTTCTGAAAATTAGCCAGTATGCATGTTAAGTTACATTCGAGTTCTCGCTGACTTTTACGTATATTTTGACATTATTCCTTCGCGTTTTTGCTGCCTCGCAACGTGTACGGCTATTCTGTGCCATATGTTTCACAAAAAATGGTACACGTGTCACTAAGCTCGTATAATATTTTACTATCGACAATTTGTAAGAAATACAACAAAATTTTCCATTCCACTTCAGGTGGAAATTTCATTTGAAAATAATACATTGACAATAGCGAAATAGTTGTTTGCTTTGAACCGTGGGTAATGCACAACATTGATTCTTGTTAACCCTCCATAAGCCCGTGTAACTTTGAAGTCACACATCAATAGACGGGGTTAAATTGATTTATTTAATTTTTTATTGCAAAACGACGAATAACATTAAATGATTAATCAACTTAAACTTTTATACACGCAGGCGTTTACATTCAACGTCATTGCAACTTCAAGGTTACAAAATATATTGGTTTTAATAAAACTATTAAAACTATTGAATGCATTTTTCATTTGTTCATGTGTTGATATCTATTAATTTCATACTGCATAAATTTTGTTATAACCACGAAACAAAATTCGGCCCATAGAGGGTTAAATTAGTTTAGAAATCTTCATCACGAGTCTCACTCGCCATTGTAGAGTCATTGTACTCAAGGGGTTAAAAATGTCAGAGCTTCTGCATCGACCCAAGAAAAGGCAATATGTTGCTAAGGGAAAAGTGGCAGGTTAGATTAAAACAATCTAGTGTTACCTGTATCCTGTAAGGGAACTCCCTGAAGTAGTAATCCTGTCTGTCATAAAAGACAATCGAATAAGAATCATTCTTGGAGAGCTTGCGACGATCTAGTCCTTCCTGAAGCGTTGTCAATCCGTAAAGTGCGCCTGCCAGGTAGCAGGCGAATATTAGGATGATTATGACCTTGACAGGTCGACAGTTCAACGCGGTGGCAAGGTAATCGCGGAACCAACTCATGCAACCGTGCTCCGGGTTGTCCACGGGGTTGTACGGGTCATCGGGGTCGATGCCGCCAGTGCACAGTGCTTTGTAGAACCAAGATCGATTCGCTGGAATTATGGATATTGTTTTTATTATAATATATATGGAAAGAATCTATAGGTAATTGACACATTGCATACTGGCAACCAGAAATCTCGTTTTTCTATAAAGACACTTAGCTATGTAACTTTGCTAATTACCACAGCATTAGATAAATATTCAATTTGATTAAAATTGATTATCTATTTAAAATATATTAGATAATAATATGATATTTGAATTGTTCATATATACATAGAATGATATAAATTGATTTCGCTGAAAATTTCCATCGTTACAGTTTTCTGAAAATTACCCGGTACGCAATGTGTTAAGAATATATTGCGGATTAAAGAAAGTTTCATTTGTTTCAATTTTTTCTTAATGAAAATATATTGAATATTTTGTAGATTAATATATTGTAAGAATATATTGTAGATTGAAGAAAGTTTCAATTTACTTTAATTTTTTTTAATGAAGGTATACATTATTATTTGATGTAACTTAGTAAGTGATTTTTAGTCATTTTGATTAATTCATAAATTAATAATAGGATTACACTATTTTTGGTAACTATAATCAATTTATTGCCCATTAATTTGAATTAATTGGATTATCTTATAATTGATATTAATGAACAAGTAAATAATCACATGAAAATTCATTCAAGTGACTATGATAATTATAACAGACTGGAACTCTTCATTAAAATTCAAATTTTTCAGAATACATTTAGAACAATTAGTTATAATTGGAAATCATTTTTCTTAAGGAGTTTTATATATCTTCTCGTATCGTGTGCATCCTATGCAAATTTATGTCTAGCCCTTATCATTTATTCCACAGTTCGATACATGTGTTTCGCGACTCATCGATTGGACCTTGAAACCGAAAATGGTGAAAATGCACCGGTGAGATCATCTCGCGGTTAGAACAATGCTTGCAAATATGACGATTGTTCGAGTATTTAATGACATGGAGATACGGACCACGAATATTAATGAGCAGGAAGATGAGAACAAAGATCAGGGTCACTGACCTTAGAAAGTCTTACTACAGAGTCTAAGAAATGTTATCTCAAGTTGTATAAAATGTTTCTCTTCTGCAAACTACCATTTCTAAAAGAGTAAATAGATTTCTTCAAATTTCACTTTTGATGAACCATCATTTTCCAAATATTCAATGCATAAATAATTGTTAGCAATTTTAAATTAGTAAACCAGAGAAATATGATGATTCATGTTCCCAGTGTTAATTTCAGTTGTATATTACTCAAACTATGTTATTAACGATATGCAGGATATTGAAAAATATTTTAGAGATTATTTATTATTGTTTAATCCTTTAGAATTAATAGTTAACAATTATACTTATTTCATCACTAAACAAGCTATGATAATAATAGAATGAGATCGATTTGTCTTCGAATAACTCCAGAAAGGTTTCATTTATCAGAAACCTGTTGCAACTCATTCAAAAGTTAATGATGCCCGACTAATTTAATCATTTTTTCATCTTCACTTTCTAGCAAGTCAAAGATGTCATTGATTGTTACACAAAACGATAAGACGACACTATTGAACAACAGCGACTGTGTCCAGTGTCGCTGGAGAAAGTCCAGCGACCTGGTTACGTAACGTTAGGCCAGTGATCTAACGAATTAACGACATTCGAACGTAACACGCGACTCGCACGCGCAAACGCGTGCTTTCCTGATGTAACGTGTACATCGGCAATTTCATGTAAATTTTTCTCAGACCTCAATTTCTTCGGAATTTTCAGAGATTTTCAGTTTCTTCGAAATCCTTCTCAAATTTGTTGAGATCTTACTTTCTTTTCAATTTCATTGAGATTTCAATTTCTTCCACTTTTTTTTCATTCTTACTTCTTTCCAAATTTTTTTGAGAGCTCAATTTGTTCTGGATTTTTAGAGGATTTCAATTTCTTCCAAATTTTGTCTAATTTTTGAAGATATTACTGTCATCGAAATTTCTTTTAAATATCAATTTCTTCCTCATATTTTCATTTTCATCTAAATTACTTTGAAATGTTAAGTTTTTTATATTTTTCGAACTCTTACTTCCTTCTAAATTCCGTTAAGATTTGAATTAGCTTTCAAAGAAAGTTGAAAAAGTGTTTCATTCCTGATTCCACAAGAATTTTCCTGCATAACCGCGATTTTCAGCGCGTTGATTAACTACTTTTCGATCGTAATATCGAAAATCATTCGCCACGTAACCGAAAGTTCACGTAACACGACGTTAAATGACGATTTACGAGTTTCGATCAGATGCGCGCGATCTTCCGGCTTTCTCGATCAGAACGCCTCGGAGAATCCGAGTTTGTGGAACATGGAAACGCTTCGAATTTTCCTTTCACACGATTAGTTCACCCGATAACTGAGAAATAAATATAATAACCATATGTGATCCCACGATCTCCAAGCAGTTTATTCAATGAAATTAGAACTGAACAGTCATTGGAACTCACAGCTCTTATAATTATTCTTGAAAAACTCTCAGATCTAATGAATTCTGTTATTGTTTACTTTATTTGGTATACAAAGTGATGAAATAGTTCTGGATTAGGTGAGCGACTATTATGTGAGCAATCTATTTGATAAATTTACTTATAGGCTTGAAAAATTAAGATTCTTAATAGGTAATTATTTTTCGTTTTCTTACGACTAAGAAATTATACTGTAGTTTGCTTCGTTTAATATAAGGGTGGTATATATTTTGGCACAATAATTATTAATGCTAGTAATTTTAATATTAGTAACTATAATATTAGTGACAATAATATTAGTAATCGTAATATTAGTAACAACAATACTAGTAGTCATAATATTAATAATTGTAATATTAGTGATATTAATACTAGTAATTACAATATTAATACCATTACCAATATCAACTCTAATAACTTCAATATTAATATACTTTCGAGAAGTGTATAGTTAAACTATCATTCTGAGCCACTTATACCAACAAATTCCTCTTCCAACAGTAACGTCAACATTGATCAACCATACACACGTGGGTCCTTATCTCCGATGAGGTTGACGTAGAAAGTATCCGGTCACGGTAAATAAATGAAAGTTCAAATAAAAACAGACCGAATGATACGTTCCCCGCCCGTGAAAGTATTCCGCGTAACGTCTTCTTCGAACGTTCGCCTTTCTTCCACGTGGCCGAGCGCACGCGTGCGCGCGCGCGCCCGCGTTTTCGAGTTACGTCGTATGTAGTAACAGACCGAATTCACTCGCGTGGCTCGCTTTTACCACGAAAATTCTTGGCTGGCCGTTACGCAACGACAGAAACGCGTGTATCCACATCCATTTCAATTTTCTCTTTCGTTTCCGTTCCTTATCCACGCACTTTCAATCTTGTGCCATTGCTCGGTCGGTAACTACCCTTGGAAACACGTGGTCTTAACAAAATGGCGACTTGAGTGTACCAGAGAAGAAACAAGTATTTTCGTTTTTTAGATTATTTTGACATGGATTTTACCGTGCTTTTCGTTCGATTCAGTGTCGCTGTATAGCTTTGTTTCCTTGGTTTTAACGATTTCGTTTAATTATGAGAGTTTGTCGTTAATTTTTTAATGAAATGTGATATTTGTAGTTTGATATCGATACCGGGAACTTTATTTTTCGAATAAATGAACTCAATATTGAGATTCGAATAAGTAATATTATTCTAGTGTAGGATAGATAGATTTAGTTGTTAATATAATTAATATTTCGCAATTGTTTGTTATACACAATCGAAATGGCTGTCGCCAGCACCTTCAATTCAGGTTTTCCATTTGTTATATAATCAACGTAACAGAAAGAATGAAACAATTGTTAATACAACAGTAGATAGAATTATACAGAGTTTTTGACAAAGTAATTTAGAGTAATTAAATTATTTAAACAAACTCACTGGACTTCGATAGAGGTTGCACCTTGCAGCACACGATGCTGTGGAGGTTCTTCTGCTCGCAGTAGCCGCTGATTGCCAGACACCCGGTGAAGAATGTCAAATGGAAAACGAAAGTGAAGACGACAGCGAATCCTGAATAAACAAAGCACATCAAGGAATCATTGAAATTGTTCTAAATAATCTTTGACATCCTGTGACCAACTTTTCATCGTAATAATTCGATTTTCAATTTGCTTCGAATCATTTCCTGCCGATTCGTTGTACTTCCTGGAAACTCACCGGAATAAATGCAGAAAATCTGCACGGAGGGAAATGGTGAGAGGATCCCGATGAAAAACGATATCATGTCAGTTAGAGAAGTGATGGTAATCGAGACAGCAGCCTCGCTGAGGGTCGCAGCCATCCTCTCCGGTACCGGTTTCATGATACTTGTTCGTCTCCAAGCCGCCAGCATCACGAACGTATCGTCGATTCCGATTCCTGAAAACAAGAAGTTGTTTCATTGATTATTATCCATTGCTTTCGGATATTTCTATTCAGAATGTTTGGGAAGTTGATTCTTCGAGTGACTTGTAAAGAGGAAAACTAATAAGTAGCCAAAGGAATACTGTTTTCCTTCCTGCATTCTTTTTATTCGTTATTAGAAATATAGTACTGTATTTTTAATTGTTTAGGAATTGGTACATATTGCAGAGTGTTTTAAAAAATTTGGAGATTTCTATTTAGTACTTAATAAGAAAATAAGGAGATACAGAAATTCTGGACAAATTCTAATTTCCAATTTTCTATTTCTATTTTATATTTTTCTGTTGTCTATTTCTATTTCCTAATTTCTATTTCTCTATTATATATTTCTAGTTCTTCTATTATATATTTCTATATTTCTATGTTCTATTTCTTCTATTATATATTTCTATATTTCTATGTTCTATTTCTTCTATTATATATTTCTATGTTCTATTCCCCTAATTTTATATTTCCATTTCTTCTATTATACATTTCTATGTTCTATTCCTCTAATTTAATATTCCCATTCACTCCATTTCAGACTTCCATATCCCATATTCTCTATTTCAAACATCTATTTTCAATTTCTCCCGTTTTAAACTTCTACCTCGAGCCACTCCTATTTCCCCTGTGGAACTCTTACCGAAACGATAAATTTAATACCCGTTTAATACCATTAAAATCGTTCCCCATAAATCGGTGTCCAAACATAAGAATCCGTGGACAGTAATGATTATTATCAATTCATTAATGAAAAGCACACAATTTCCGGAGGCAAGTACGCCGGGAAATTCTCGAACGAGTCATCGGAATAATTAAACGATTCGCCGAGGTCCATTTCTTGCACAAACAGAAACGACGGTGCCATTACGGCGATAACGAGGCGGCAGTTATGTTAGGCGGTCGGCGCGAGCGCGCAGTGAATCAGAAATCAAGCCGGTTGATTCGTGATTCACCCCGTTGACCGTTTACATTTGGACGGCGATTTATAGCGGCTAATAAATGGCGGGCGTCGTTTATTCAATTTCAAGCAAGGACGCCGGCCGGAAGTCTTTCTCGCCAGTCAATCGAATTTCTTCGTGACGATCGGGAAGGAACGTGGATCGACGATATTAAGGGTTTCAGCAAATCGTTATTAATGATATCTTATGTAATGCAATGAAATTGAATATTATGTAATGTGATATAATTTATACTGATTGTTCCACTTAATTTTACAAATGCAATTATTTCCGAGAATAATGTCGTTTAAGACATCGTTTGAATAACGAATAATTTTAGAAGTAATTGCATGAATTCTCTTGTTTCTTTAGGAAATTATTAATAACGATGTGATTTCAATTATCTTTGGCATTGCTATGAAATATTATTGGAAATTTATTAAGCTTGATTATTTCAAATTTCAGTTGTTACTGGACTAAAATTGCAGGAGAATTATGCATTATACAGGTCGTTAGGAAAGTCTCCAACTATCAATCTTCCAGCCCTCAAATTAACTCAAATTACTTTTCCATCGCATATACCTAATACATTCAATAACAACTAACAGGCCGTTACAAAAACCAACTACAATTCAAAAACTCCCAGAAATAAAATTCCAATAACAACAAACAAAACCTTCCAACCCTCAAACGAACTTTTTACCACCATACAAAAGGAATCCAATAACAATTAACTATATAGATCGTTACAAAAACCAACTACGATTCAAAAACTCCCAGAAATAAAATTCCAATACCAACAAACAAAAGCTTCCAACCCTCAAACGAACTCTTCACCACATAAAACGAATTCAATAACAACTATACAGGTCGTTACAAAATCTACGTCTATAAAGCGTCTCCACGACACAACGCTGACGAAACATCATTGAAACATTCTTGCGAAACTTCCGAGCCCCCCGAGTCGACTTGATCGAGCGGACACGAAAGGATCGCACACGGAACCATCGAGACGGTGATTTACGTGAAAAGCGGAAGCCTCCGGGCTTTTCTCTTTCGTCGCGCTTCCTTGGACACGTCGACCAAAGTCGCGTCGTTATCGACAACGATTGCGCCCGGCCACATTCGACCGAGCCGAACCGAACCGTTGCGAAATCGTACGGCGTGATTCGCTTTCGATCTGGAATCGTGTCGCGCAGTGTAAATAAGTACACAACGATCGACGGTAATCGGCGTCCGGTTCTCGGACGACGACTCGATTAACGATCGACCCTGTTGCCACCAGAAAATCCAAATCACCGGTTGTTCCGCGTTACATGATACTCGATAGACCATGCCTCGATGCGGCGAAATGAAGAACACGGGAGTCATTGCGATTGACTAACGTCGTACGCTTTCGTTGGATTTGTTGGGAACTTTAGAGATTTGTTAGACTTTGGTTATTAAATTTGATTCTGGTGCAATGTGAGAGATTTTTGAGTTTTAGATTGAAGTGAGTCGATGTTTGAGTGGATAGTTTTAATGTTTCTAGGTCTGAGATGTATAGATTGGATGATTACAGAGAATGTGCAAGAGATTTTCATATTTTCTGTAGATTAGACATTTTTCTAGAAATTTGGAGAACGATATCTTCTCATCGAATTTTAGATTGAATTCAATGTTTAATTAGACGTTGTCAGTGTTCCTAGATCTTATAATAAGCTTCGATTCCAGTAAAGAATTTTTCAAAAACTTTAAATTTCGTAGAATTTACAATCTTTGCCTTCGAGAATATCTATTAAATTAAAAGCACTTTATCTTCATGCTTGAAAATAAAAGAAATATAGAAAACCGCATTATCTTTGGAATGAGAGAATAATAAATTCACTCACCGATCATAAGAAAAGGCGCAGCAAGGTTGAGGCCAATGAAGTCCACGCCAATGTAGATGCACATCCCAAAAGCAGCTACAGTGGCCATTGCTGCCGACACGTTCCCCAAAAGTCCCAGCCAAGGTTTGCTTCGCACCCAATCGGTCATCATGCAGGTGACAACCGAGAAAAGTGCCATCAGGACGAACGTGCTGGAGAAATAAGGCACGATCGTCTTCGTGTTCTCTTCAAGTTCCAGTTCCAAAGTCCTAGATGCGAATCTCGCTGTTGCGATGTGTTTGAACATGCCCTCGTCCTCTACTTTCTTCAGTGCATCGAGGAACGCCTCTTCCCATGCTGCCCCACTGGTTGAGGAAATAGTAGGAATTGATTGAATGTTAAGTTAAGGTGTTCAACTGTTGATTTTCGGTGGTTAATGGTAGAATCAGTTGAAATGGCTGGTTTTGGCTCTTTTGTTTTGGAATTAGTGCCTTCGAAGCATTGAATGTTAGAAAAATAGTTTTAGTTGAAATTAGTGGTTCTTTTTCTTTTGTTTTGGAATTTTTGGTGTCTTCAAGAATTGAATATTCGAAATGATTTTGAAAATAAATACTTTTAGTTGAAATTAGTGGTTATGTTTCTTTTGTTTTGGAATTATTGGTGCCTTCGAAGCATTGAATATTAGAAGATAAATAGTTTTAGTTGAAATTAGTGGTTCTGGTTCTTTCGTTTTGGAATTATTGGTGCCTTCGAAGCATTGAATATTAGAAAAATAGTTTTAGTTGAAATTACTGATTCTAATTCTTTTGTTTCGCAATTACTGATACCTCCAAAGCATCGAATATTCGAAACGGTCTCAAAAATAAATAGTTCCACTTGAATACTATACCAAATATCAAAAGCAACGGAAAATAATCTATTGTCACAAAATTCACTTCTAACCAATATCAATTTCTTCAACGCTATGGGATAATTATTTCAAATCATTGAAAAACTTCTGAGAACAATTAATGTTTACGTTACCACAATATGAAATTAATATGATTATCCTTGAAACTTCGGAAAGCGATTTGAATGTTTACGTTGCCATAACGTGAAATTAATATGATTATCTTTAGATTGTCAAGTTTGATAGAATTGAAAAATAAATAAGTCTTGATCGGATTATAATTCACTCACATGGCGTCCTGACGAGGATTATCAGCCGTCAGGAAGTACGCCAGTTGCATCGAGGGCACCGACTCTATCTGTTTGTCCTCGTTGAGCACGCTCCCACCGAAATAGACCGGCAACAGGAGGATTTGCCAGGTATCTGGATGCAGCATCAACGGGAACGTCAGTCTCAGCTCTTTGCTTTCCACATCCCTGGAAAATGCTACCATCTACTTATAGGGGAAGTTATGGGGATAATCCGAGGTTCGCCAGCTTTTTCTCTTTCCTTCAGATTATCCTGGTTCTGACGTTACAATGTTGCACGTTTCATTTTTATTGTTAAAGGCAGTGAGATAAACGTGGCGATAATTAAGCTGTGACTGTAACTATTTAGAAGGTATTTTAGATGTAAATATAAATATAGAAATATGGAAATTTGGGAATATGGAAATATGGAAATATAGAAATATAGAGATATAGAAATATAGAAATATAGAAATATAGAGATATAGGAATATAGAAATATGGAAATATGGAAATATGGAAATATAGAAATATAGAGATATAGAAATATAGAGATATAGAAATATAGAGATATAGGAATATAGAGATATACAAATATAGAGATATAGAAATATAGAGATATACAAATATAGAGATATAGAAATATAGATATATAGAAATATAGAGATATAGGAATATAGAGATATACAAATATAGAGATATAGAAATATAGATATATAGAAATATAATGAAACCTAAAATTAATAGACAACAGTCAATCCAAAAAGTCAAGTCTACCTCAACAAAAAGAGAAAGAGAAGAAATGAAAACGATAAATAAAGAAGAAATTAAATGAAAAAATTGAAAACTCAAATTACTATAAAAAGAAACAAAAATATCCAAATGTCTAGACCTGCCAGAGACCAACGAGAATACTTACTTTATGATGTAATGGAGGCTCAGTATATCGTTAGCGAAGCATTCATCCAACCACCTGGCGCAGATCTGCTTGTAGGTGAACACCTCGCCCTCGTAGGTCGCGTGGGCGCTTTTGATTATATTATCCAGCTGTATGAGCTCGTCGAACACCGCCGATCTCAGTAAATTCTCTTCCCCGTCCTTCGAGGTGATGATTACATGGCCAAAACGACCTGCGAGATAGTTTAACAGCTCATTTACTAACTGTTAATAAAAGTGTAATAGTTCAATAGCCCCCTCAACCCTTAGTATCGAAAATTCCAATGAAAGAGCTTAATTATATAAAAGGTAACAAATTTTACGTAATTTCGTTATTTAATATTCTATGGAAAAATTTTCCAATACTTCTAAAAAGAGCATACAGGATAGATATAATAGAATGAAAATATTCGATTATATCCGAAGTTCATTTTCATTAATAAGTTTTCTATCCAATTCTTGAATTCTTTTAATAATATTTGATTGATCGAAGTGTAGAAATGAGTATGGAAATTGGAATATAAATTCATAATAATATAGTGAATAATAGTAGTAGTAGTAGTAGTAGTAGTAGTAGTAGTAGTAGTAGTAATAATAATAATAATAACAATAGCAAAGAACCCCTAATGATTTTATTATATTATTATTATAGTATTATTAGTATTATTACAGTATTATTATAGTACTTTTATAGTATTATTATTATAGTATTATTAGTATTATAATATCGATTAACCATTGGTTAGTATTATATTATTGGTAGCATTATAAAATCATTAGGTTTATTGCTATTGTTATTATTATTATTCTTATAACTAGCAGATAACTAATCGATATTCTTTCAAATTTACACGTAAATCATTCAAATTACAAGAAATTCAGATCAACAATTTATATTTTCCTGAATTTTCCTCCTTGCAACGTGTATATCGAGGTCTATTAATAAACGTCCCGGCAGTCAAAGCGTTAACACAAAAGAAAACCGGCGCAAAAGGAAGAAAAAATGGTGGCAAAACGGATGATCCGGCCTGTGAAAAAAACAATCGAGCCGGAAACTGATGTTAAACGAGGTGCATGCGATGCGATGCGACGCGCCGCGACGCGGCTCGGCGCGGTGAGTCAAGGGTCAATTAGTGACGACTCAATGAAACGAGAAAGTTATCGCGGTGTCTTCAATAAAGAGGTTAATTCGGCGTGGGCGTGCGGCTCGCCGGCGAAATTGCACGCCGCCGGACAATCCAAACAAGGAAGCGGATCGGGCGAGGTCGTTGCCGTTCCCGGTATATACCCGTGCATGCATTCGCTGCGCTTTCTCCTTGAACTTTAACCAGTTAGATGCTTTTGACGGGTATACTCGTCCAGAGGGGATGACAAGGTTTCGTGTTGTGACGTGATACTCGTCAAGAAGGAATTGCAAGGTTTTGTGTTGTGATGAGTATGTTTGTCGTGAAGATATTGCAAGGTTTTGTGTTGTGACGAGTATACTCGTCAGGAAAGTACGGCAAGGTTTTGTTTTGTGATGAGTATATTTGTCGTGAAGATATTGTAAGGTTTTGTATTGTGACGAGTATACTCGTCAGAAAGATATGACAAGATTTTGGGTTCTGACGAGTATACTTGTCAGGAAGATATGACAAGGTTTTGTGTTGTGACGAGTATACTCGTCAGGAAGATATGACAAGATTTTGGGTTCTGACGAGTATACTTGTCAGGAAGATATGGCAAGGTTTTGTTTTGTGATGAGTATATTGGTTGTGAAAATATTGCAAGGTTTTGGGTTCTGACGAGTAAACTTGTCAGAAAGATAGGGCAAGGTTTTGTGTTGTGACGAGTATACTTGTCATAGGTAAAAACTAATTTTTATAGTATCCCTAACGAAAATGAAAAATGCTATAACATTTCTCAGATCTTTTATTCTCCTTCTTAGTGTAAAATTTGGATTTGTGAAAAATTTAATAATTGTAGGATAGTTTCTTTAATAATATTGTTTCTGGTGCAATATTGGAACCTACAGAGTTCAAAGGGTTAACAATAGAACTCCTGATTTCCCTTTTCCGCAATTATTAAAAACATAGCAGATACTTTCCCGAGAAGCTATTAAAGAATTAAAGTACGGCAATACGCAAATACACGAATCAATCAAAGTCTCAATAGGTACCCTCTCGAAATCTCTATATAGAAATTTCGAACTATTTCAGTGCTCTAGTTCTAGAGTTAATGAGATTCATGACATAATAGCTTCGCCAGAAGAAGGCCATCTCTCTCCAACTCACCCCGCAAATAATACTTCAATAGAAATTGAAAGTTTTTGATAAAATCATGAAGAAACGAGATTTATTAAAAGAACTACCGCGTCATGCATATCATTAAAAACACAAACTGTAAGCTGCTTATGACCTCGTTATCATTTCATTTAGCGAACTCTCTTATCCACGAAACAATTTGAGAATGTATCTAGACACTACCGACTCGTTAGGGGTTAAAAGTGCATCAGTTCAGTTCCCGACAGAAAACCGTGCTTGACACGGTTCCCCACAGGCCACCGAGCAATTGGAGCAATACTTTAAAGACTCCGACCGCACTCGGAAAAGTTTCGTATCCGAGACACTCACCTGGCCTGGTGATACGGCCCAGGCTGAATTGGCTGGTGTAATTGACCTTGAAGTACTGCTCGACGATCGCCCGTTCTGTTTTGCTCGGGCCGTTCGTCGGGCTGAAAAGATACTCGGGATCGATCTCATAGTTGATCCTCTGGTAGCCGGTGAAGCAGATGCAGGCTACCAGGACAGGGATCACCACGAAGTAGCCGGGATGATGTCCCACCACGAGGCCCAATTTGTGGAACGCTCGGTTCAGGAAGTCGTCCACGCAGGTCAAATTCTTCCACATCTGTAACACGTAATGAATAGGGCTTTTATTTATTGGAATAGCAGTGGTGGTGTAATATGGAATTAGTATTTGTAGAATTGGATATTATAGAATGGAATTATTGTTTAGAGGATTGAATATTGTAGAATGGAATTATTGTTTATAGGATTGAATATTATAGAAAGAATTATTGTTTATAGAGTTGAATATTATATTGTAGAATGGAATTATTGTTTATAGGATTGAATATTGTAGAATGGAATTATTGTTTATAGGATTGAATATTGTAGAATGGAATTATTGTTTATAGGATTGAATATTGTAGAATGGAATTATTGTTTATAGGATTGACTGTTATAGAGTAGAATTATTATTAGAATTATTATCATCTTCGTTATTGTTATTCCTATTATAGAATAGAATGATTGAAAAAGAAATATTAGAATACAATTAATTAGAGAAATTAAAAACTAAATGTTAGAACATTGGAACAATTGTTGTGTAATTACTGTCAGTAATCCGTGGGCATTGACTGAGTGATTTATATGTCGCTTTAAAAGGACTATGCAAATTACACAAAAAAAAATGATTTTACATAGAGATCCTTGGGAAAGAATACAAAAACAGGTCTAGTTGTATTTCATTCTTTATTACACTTCATCATCCAGTCATCCAGCATTAAAAGTATAAATCTACATAAAAATGCATGTTGTCGTGCACGAGAATGAAAATAAAGAGCAACGTCAATCATTGTTTCAACACAATCCACTAAAAAAATGTTATAATTCCACTTCAGTAAAAAAATATATTACACTGTTTTTAATAGTAACATCGATAAAAACAATGATACACTACATCAGCGTGCATTAATATTAACATAATACAATGTAATATAATTTTATATAAAATATATCAATAGTTCATTCATAACATACATACATACATATTCAGTATTAACTGATACTTTGAACGACAGACTTTGTTTATAAATAATAATTTATTACATCATTATTTCCTAACACTCATCATCGATATCTCTCGTCCAATTTCAGTGTTAATCGATACTTTGAACGACAGACTTTGTTTATAAATAATAATTTATTACATCATTATTTCCTAACACTCATCATCGATATCTCTCGTCCAATTTCCAATCAACTCAGGCTCCCAACGAAAAGTAATTTCCAATAGGCTTCACCGCTCTTGAAAGGTGCGCGCAAACTCTGATCTGCAAAACAAATCAGCGGTCTAATCAGCGACAAGTTCAGATTTACGGGCGACCGATGACAACCGCGCAGCCGCGACGCGCCGGTCGCCGCGAGAAAAGTGGAGCAACACTTGTAATTGCGAATTTGAATCGCGCGCGAGCCAGTGTCGCAACAAGAAATTAAAAGGCCGACTGACGTAACGCTTAAAGCGATTACTTTTGCGTCGGCGAGCTCGCCGAGTGGACTCTCTCGTTTATTACGGCCCAGGAAATTACAGGTGCGAGACAAAAGCGGTTGAAAATCTTTCGTCGTGCCGGCTACTCTCGCGCTGTCGACTGTGAAACAGGGGAAAAAATGGGGGAAACCACGGAAGACGTAGAAAGCAGCGGTCCAGAGAGGAGTTCGTTAAGCTGCGTGCACACCGGGGTGCATTTATCGAGGCAGAACAGTTTACGATCGATTTGGTACTCTGGTGATTGAAACTGAGAAATTTTAATGGTCTGATGGTTTGCAGGTTTGTGGTAGGCACAGTTGATTAAGCTACGTACTTGAGTAATATTGAGTTGTTTTTATTTTAGTGTTTGTTTGATTGAGTATGGAAGAATGTTTTTTTATGCAGTAGAGAAGCTTGTAACATAGGTTATGAAGATTGAGGATCAGAAATGATGTAGAGAGGTATTGATAGATTTGGTAGTTTGCTAAACATGACTCATTGTTGTAATAATACTATAAATTGAAGTAGGATGGTAATTACTCAGGTTATAAATGTGAAAAACCATGTTTAAATGAATTTTGATATAGTGGAACTGTTTATATCCCATTTGGGCAACCTATATACTTCACCAAACATTGTCAAACATTTCATTCTACAGTAATAGTGCCACAAATTAAACTACATAGCCTGTAAGTCCCTCTAAAAATATAATAGACCAGTTGTAAACTAATTTTGACAAAATGGAACTATTTATATCCCACTTAGGCAACCTATATACTTCACCAAACATTTTCAAACATTTCATTCTATACTAATAGTACCGCAAACTAAACTACATAGCCTGTAAGTCCCTCTAAAAATATAATAGACCAGCTGTAAACTAATTTTGAAAAAGTGGAACTATTTATATCCCACTTAGGCAACTTATACACTTGGGCAAACATTACCAAACATTTATTTCTGAGGTAAATGGACTTGTCCAAGCATCATACGATAAATCTACGTTTCACTCGACGATTCTACGCGACAGAACGACTAGAAACTCTCTCGAATTCGTAACGATTACAACACACCGAACGAAAGACGGAAAGACATGGGGACAGTATTGTGTCCGCGGCGAATGACACGACTCACGCACGTCGCTCATCAAACAGCGCGCTCGCAATTAGTCTAATAACGCAGACATCCGTCCATCCCCGCGGTTCCCGGGTAACCGCCGGCTAGTTTCAACACGTGACACGTGGACGTCCGTAATCTTCGAGAAACTATCCTCCTTCCTGCAATTCCCACGAAATTTCAACGTTTCGTCTTATGAAATGTAATATAAAACGAAGAGCCTTCTGTGGCAACAGAAAAAACGAAGCAGGAAGTTTCCTTTGGCAAAATGAGGAAACGAACGTTTCGAGCTTTCAATTGTAAAGTTAACAAGGAAGCTTATGGTATTGTAATGTAAAATTGAAAAAAAGAATTCTGACTTTTACATTACAAAATTGTTAAAGAAATTTAGTCTCATGTTGCAAAGTCCAAAGAAAATGTTTCGAGCTTTGAATTGCGAAGTTAACAAAAGAATTCAGGGTTTTATTTCGTGAAATTGAAGAAAACGTTTCGAGCTTTCAATTGTAAAGTTAAGAAAGAAGCTTATGGTATCGTAGTGTAAAATTGAAAAAAAGAATTCTGACTTTTACGTTACAAAATTGTTAAAGAAGTTTAGTCTCATGTTGCGAAGTTCAAAGAAAATGTTTCGAGCTTTGAGTTGTGAAGTTAACAAAAGAACTCAGGGTTTTATTTCGTGAAATTGAAATTTCGAGCTTTCAATTGTAAAATTAACAAGAGATCTCGGGGTTCTCTGCAAATGTAAGAAGAAATATTCCAACGTTTGTATTATAAAATGACCAAAAAAGCTCGGAGACCCTCGTCGCGAAATTAAATCCATAAAAGCAACGTAAAAACCTTGTCTGAAATGAAAGAACAGTTGAAGATCAGAATGAAACAAGAAAGCTTCGCGCCCTGCGTCGCGAAGGCCATTAAAAAGAATCCGAAAGTTTGCTGCAGTAAAATAAACTAAACGTAGCGCCAAATTGCACTCAGTAAAATGAAAAAAGGAGCTCAGAGTTCACTCGCGCGAGAGATAGTAAAAGGAGACTCAGAGTTTCATCCCTGAGACCGAAGCCGAGAATCTCACTGTATAAAATTAAGAAGGAAGCTTAAAGCCTCGTGCGTCGGCGTGTACTAAAAGGAAGCTGAAAATTTCATCTTCGAAATGAGAAACAAACCCAACGACCTTTCTATAAAATCAAAAGAGAAGCCCAAGATCGCGTGTCTTGCGGTTTAAGAATAAAAATCTGAGATTTCCATGGCTTCTAATAAAAAGAGAGCTCCGGTTTTATGTTATAAAATAAAAGGCAACCCAAAATCATCTTCGCAAGACGTAAAAAAAGGAAGTTCGAAGATCAGTGTCCTCGTGGCTGGTCGAAGAAGTGGGTTGGACGAAATAATTCGGCTAGAGCGTCATTGAAGACGCGTAAAAGCGAAGTCGGACTTGACCCGAATCCCTCCGTAACAATGGCGATGCGTTCAGCATACCGAAATCGCTAATTGTCAATTCGAAAAGAGATTGCGAGATGCTTGGCCCAACACCGGAGGAATATTCGTCATCTTCCGGGCGACGTTTGCGAAATGGTCTATTTATACTGGGTGTTTCTCAAGTTGTAGCACCGTTGACGAGAAAATTAGTTTATACGAATTATGAATGGAAAGTATGGAATGTTTAACCCTTAGCACTCCAGATGGTTTTGTAATCTATCAGCAACTGCAACTAATTTTTATAGTATCCCTAGCGAAAATGAAAAATGCTACAACATTTCTCAGATCTTTTATTCTCCTTCTTAGTGCAAAATTTGGATTTGTGAGAAATCTAATAATTGTAAGGTAGTTTATTTAAGATTCATTAAAATATCGATTATTCCTGGTGCAATATTGGAACCTACAGAGTTCAAAGGGCTAATAGATATGATATGGTATGAGTATGATGATCTATGGTTGAGTGTAATTAAGAATAATTTATTCTACAATTATTTAGTAATTATTTGCTTTAGATGTATCTGTTGGTTTGGACAATTTGAGGTTAATTAGTGTTATAGCATGTTTTAGATGTAATTGTTAGAATATTTTAATTACTGCTGAGACAAACAGATGGTACTGAAGATATTTTCGAAGATTATTTATGAGTTGATGCTACTCAGAGATTTTCGATATAATTATTATTGTAGAATATTTCAGATTTACTACTGAGTTAAGAAATAATTTAGTTGATTTGCTTCTTCCTAGGTCTACTGAGTTGCTACAGAAGATATTTTCGATTAGGTAATGTTCAATAACAGTTCGTTTCAATTGACTCGTTCACATTATATTTATCTGCTTCATTTATAATTCATTATTGCCTCACCCTTATTCCTTCTATCTAGTATTAGATATCGGAGAAATATTTTTACTTAGCTTCGGTTCATCAACAGTTCATCTTATTTTCACCCTCGCGTGCTATATTTAACACTAGAACTACCGAGCATTTAATACGATTAATATACAATTCCCATAAAAAT